TGCAACTTCATGTAGTAGATTGCTTCTTCAGAGTAAAATTATGGACTTACTCAGAAAAATGTGCGGGGCAATGTAAATACTCACCACACTACCAACCGTGATGTCTCTTCGAGTGAAAACTAAGGTGGCTATAGGACATTGTACACAAATTTGATGTGGATAAATAAACAGGTCTCAATTTATCACTTTATATGATTGTGGTGTGTTGATACTGCCTTCAGTAATCCAATAACCATGTCTATACAAATGTTTCACAACCGGCTGAAGTTGGTACTATCCGCCATAATGAAACATGTGATTTCCACAGAAATCTGTTCAGACCTGCATGTTTAGGAGTGAATATATTATTACCCACAAAGTGCTTCTTTGACGATTCTGTCCCTGACCTTCACGACAGTAGGGAATATAGGGATTAGTCAGTAGTTATCAGAATTGTGCTTACTACTTGTTTCTGGCAAGATGGTGGAATACCTTTAAGGAATGAGCATTTAAGTAGGCTTGTTAAAGAGAAGCGTAAAGCATTCACGTGTACTTTGAGGACCTCTGACTGGAATGCCATCCGGTTCTGTTGCCTAATTCGGCTGTACTTCTTGCAGAACTTTTCTGGTTCTGGAACGCTCAATTTCTACATGTAGTAAGTTCTTAATACTATGATATATATGTTAGAAAGAGAATGTTTCAACTGCACGATGGAAGCTAAGGTGTAACTTATGAGTTATTGTTGCTGCTAACAAAAAGAGTAACTACTAGGATGTTGGAATTTGAGTGTAAAACGGTTTCCTGTCTTCATCAGCGAGTATAACGACATATGATCACTCTCTCATGTTGTGCACAGTTGGGTCGTAAAGTTATCTCGTTGTTTTATTGCACAACAGTAATATATATTTGTATATTTTGATCACTCATTCAACCTGTTAGTTTCTCTGCTGATTCCAGGTTGTAATCTTGCTCTGAGTTAGCTTACGTGTAGTAGATTTGAGCGCTGAGTGGTGAATCTCCTTTTACGAGCGAATAAAAGCATAATCATTTCAGCTGTGTAAATGATCATGTCTTTTGTCAATGTTCGTTTGGTATACGGATGAAATGTGTCACAGGAATTCGGCTATGGTAAACCACACATGCTCTCTAGAGACTAATTCTCCTATAATTCCTAATTGGTGGCTTTTTGGGCATAGGCAACTTGAAAATTGTAATAGTGAAAGAAACCATGTCTCTCTCAATGCGGCGTGATGGGATTTTTGGACCATTGTGGGTTTGGTTTGGTGAACAGGTTGGTGAGAATATAGTCAAGTCTAGAATTTTAGTCAGCGAGTGCTAGCTAGTAAGGGCGGTACTCAGGCTGTATTCTTGTAAGAGCTCTCAGAATTCCTTGAGAGACCGACAACTGGTGGAAACGTGGGACCTATGAACGTTATGTATCAAGAGGGTCTGATGGAAATTTGTTTAAAGCTCCTGTAACGTATTAAACCAGGTTTAAGGACGTAAAAGCCTCTAGTGAACAACATAAAGCTTCTACCAAGAAAGCCCACAAGACCTTCAATACTACGTCGTAATACCTCTATGTAGCTCCTCTTCCATGAAGAAATGATATGAGTGCGTAGGGATGAATAGACGTCGAGTGCTGCACCTCCACCTATGCTGTATTGTCTCTTATCACGAGATGAAGAAGTCCCCTAGATGAATTTCATCATCGTTAATGTTGTTTGTTATCCATGCCTCACATACAGTTACCACACCTAATTGCTTGTTTCTGGCTGCAACGCGACCAGGTAGATTTGAATGCAGTACAGGTAAACTGCCGCATACGACGAGCATATACGGAGAGGTGAATGTGTCACTAGATGAAAGGTGACTGTGTGAAGTAACAGCAGTTGAGCGAATGCCTAATTAGCAGAGTTTGTGAAGATGAAGTCCTGCTACTTTTCGATCAATCGATCAATCACTAGGTGGTATGCGTGAGTTTTCCTCCGATCACTTTGTGACATATGTGTATTTTGGCTAGCCGTAAAGTCCCAAGAGAGAGAGAATGAAATACGTTGTACCACTTCTCGAGGACCACGTCGACTATATCAGGGTGAGGGGTCAAAAGTTACGTACATTAATGTCAGCTGGGGCGAGTTTGAAGGATGTCAGAATCAATGCGAGACGTAGAATTGTCGTCGAAATCTCCAAGTTACCAAAATTCACGCCAGCATGTTATGATCTAAAGTATTTCGTTGAAAGATGGATATGCGGAGAAGAAAGAAACCAAGAGTAGTAGGAAGTTGTGAAGAGACAGAAGAACCGGAACAATCATGAAATTTGTAATGACGATCCGGTCAAGGATGGTTTGTGAATGGGTCCTCACCACTCGGATGATTCCAAGCCGCATCAGCTGGAGTCTACAACCATAGGATGTGCTTCTGTGGTTCACTCGAGCCGTGAAGTCTGTAGGGTTTGTTCTCAGGTTACAACCGTGTCGAACAAAGGTAAGCCACCAGTAACGGAAACAACTAGGGAGGGGAATGAGGATCACATGGGCGGTGTACAGGATCATGGTTAAATTCTCCAGCCATCGGAGATTAGTTGCGGCCTTAGTACTCAGAATGGCAGCAAGCCCCTGATAAGCAACCTATAGTAAACAAGAGATAAAACGCACTGCAAATACCTAATAACAGAGACACTCGATAAAGATTGCGTTTTGGGGAGCGAACTGCTCACTTCCTTCCTTTTTGTAGGTGTTATATTGGCAACTTCCTCAACTGAGTGTCGGATGAAACTCGAGTGTTTGTCTGAGGTGATCCAAGTTTCACTTGCTCACCGACCTCCTTTCGACATACAGACGTCCGGCTAAGACTCCATAGGTTCTTCATGAATACGTTGAGTTTGGCTATGCACTGAGAGTCTCCTCAAATATTTGTTGTTATGAAGGGATATTTTTGCAAGTCTTCAATCCTCCGGATGGTTCATTCCGACAGTTGAAGGAATGATGAACTGATTTCATGTTTTAGACACGCTACGTTAAGTCTTCTTTTACTCCAAATCCACTGAAACTGAAGGCAAAGTGTTACTGAACGTGCTTAACATACGCTTCAGCCGAGTCGGTGATGGTTCACAATGTTATGAAGTGATTATACTGTACTGCCCACATCCCTATGTCTAACATGTAATGTACTGAGAAAAGGGTTCCACTGTGGTTGACGTGTTCTACAAAGGCGACGCTTGAGAACGGCGTGAAGTGTCTTCGTATACTCAATGTTTATGGTTATGTTTTGTAGTCACATAATATTTATTTGTATTACGCTGAAACTATATTCGTAAAAGAGGTATCATAGTGGTACCATGTATGGTTGTTGTGTGAATCGTCAACGTGATTTTATTCTTGTAAAGGCTAAAATTCCTCTTTTGAACCATAAATCTCCAACTCATCTGGGATAAGCTCTAAAAACTGTGTCAGCCATATTTGTCAGCTTATCGAAAGGTGAATAAATGAGTAACATTATGGGAGGAAATGATAGCTTCTGGGCTGTCGTGGAACCAGGTTCAAAAGATCTCAGAGAACAGAGGTCACTGGAGGCGTGCTACTGAAGCCCTATGTTCCACTAGGAACCCAAGGGACTAATAATAATAATAATTATGGGCCTGAGAGGTACATTCGAGTTTTAGATTTGGGGTAAACTATAAACGAAAGGAAAATGTGAACCTTTTATATTGAGTTCATTATATGCTGAACTGTTTGTCAGTTTCTTCATCAGAAGTTCTTTAAGATGTCTGCATACTTGGTTTCCAGATGTCGATACCACATCCTTAACTCTGCGATAAGTTATTGCAATTAGCAACCTTCTAATTACGCTGCTCTTTCAGTGGCTATACAGGATGGAACATGAAAATTCTATATCAAGTTTTCTACCAGTGTTTTCGTGACTGTTTCCACCGAAATGTTCAGCAATAAAACTAAAGCAGACCATCAAGTATGCTTATGTATAATTATACATGTCTGCTAAAGCCTCAACGAGTGGAGTGTGTTTCAAACCTGTGGCTCACTTGTTGATAACCCCGTGTTTAAATCAATGGTGTACCACTTATCCATTATGATTGGCCGGTTAGCGTTCTCTTTATATACTAAAAATAACCTGTGTGTTGAAACATGAAATCGCCTTTGGTCACTATATTGTACATCGTGGGGTATAAAGTAGACCACCGTATTTGAAACTTTCAGAATACTGAATTTACACAAATGATTCATTTTTGTGGAAGCTTAGTGATGATGATGCCAGACCGAGACATAGCAACAGTTTATGCAGCCTCTTAATTTTGGTCTGTACAATGTTCGGTATAGGCTACCTGGTTAGAGAGGTCCTGGAGAGGATACAAATCAATAGTTATTTATTGTATTATTATTAGTCCCTTGGGTTCCTAGTGGAACATAGGGCTTCAGTAGCACGTCTCCAGTGACCTCTGTCCTCTGAGATCTTTTGAACCTGGTTCCACGACAAATCAATAGTTGGAGACCCTTAATGATATGGCTTAAAGTTTGTCTCATTGGTGCATATGTATATACTCTTCGTCATTGAATATTGCCACTAACATTTATCTATTTATTCACTACCTTCTCATACACTTCCGTATATTACGATTTCATTCTTTTTCTGCACACTTCTTTGCTTAATGCTGTGAAACATGTTGACTTGAGCTAATACACTTCTGTACCGGGTTTTACTTTGATTTATCTTTCTGTATATAAATGTGGTCTTGTATAAATTTGTAACAAATGTGTTAGTTAAGTTACATTTCTCCCCAAAGCCCTCAGAATTCCAACTGTTTCCCAGAAAATTGGTCCAGTTTCCGCAGTGTTTCTCGTATGTCACCAGAAATTCCCCATAGCTTCGGCATAATTTTCTTATCTTCTCCTGAAATATCTTTAAAGCAGTCGGCGTAAACGTTTTTCATTCAATTGTAGGCTGTGATGTATTAAAATTTATCAACTTCAATGTATGTGTTCATTTTTCTTTGTTCAATAGAAACGCTAATCATATGCAGTCTAGTCAGCGGTCAACATCGAGCAGTCAGTCTAATTTTCCGCGTAAAAGAAACACACATGTTCAAGGGTTGAAGTCTAGGCTACGATTAAATATTAATTCAATTTTATCCAACTATGAAATGATTCTATCTCGATCTAAGGTGAATCAAATTTTATCATGTCTAAAGTTTATAGATTGATCCAAATGAAGTTGCTAAAGGTCTTGGTCCATATGCTCAATGCGCTCAGGATACATTCGAATTTAGTGTAAGGGCTGCAAATATTGTAAGTTTCAATTATAACAGTTTTATTGTAACCATAAGACTAACTTGTTCTGCTAAATCCTCTTGAAACTAGCTGGTTCGTTAATTATTATTATTATATTGTTTTTTCCTTGGGTTCCTAGTGGAACATAACGCTTCAGTAGCACGTCTCCATTGCGCTTTGTTCTCTGCAGTCTTTTCAACCTCGCTCCACGACTGCCCACAAGCTTTCATTTCTTCCTCACATGATCTCCTCCATGTCACCCTCAGCTGGGATGCCCAACTCGTCGTTTTTCCTTTGCATTCCTCTCTAGAGTCTGGCGTGTGATATCCCCAGTCGGCCTTCTCAGTGAATGCCCAATTCATCTCCAATTTCTTCTCTATATTTGTTGGATGATAGGTTGTTGGTTGGTTCGTTGCCCGGCCAGAGTTCCTTGTTGCTTATTCTTTCTGGCCATCTGATCTTCAGTATCGAGCGTAAGCTCATTCGTTAATAGTTGAGTATATTTTTCATTTCGTATTTTATTGTGTAATGTTTTTTTTTTAACAAAGAGACACATTCCTCTTTCTTAACGTTCACTTTTAAAATAAATGATTTGGTGTTTCCAATAACAGTGAATGTGTCATTAAGGCGAATACCGTGAGTGCTGTGTTCTTTTTGTGATCAGATTTCTGGCCATTTAGGTGCACTGTCTCCTAGTTAGTATAAAGTTTATTCGGCAACTGGTATCACTTCTCTGACTTAGTCACAAATCTCATGAAGTTTGATAGCTTAGTAGTGTATAGAATTATCGGAAAAATATAAATTAAAGATAGAAGCCGTGATCCAAGTTGACATATGTCTTCATAGAGTAAAGTGTGTTAGCCAGAAGAATAAGATGTAAAGATGGACTAGAGAACATGAGTGAATGCGATGGAATGTGTGTCGAATAGTTAGGTCATAATTTTGAAGTATGAAAGTAGTGAGTTAATTCACGCTAATATAATTCAGTCATGTTACTTTGTTTTTCAACTAGTGCTTTATGTATGCCACAGAATGGTGAAGAGTATTTATAACTCAGGAGAAGCGGTGGTTCATTAGCATAGATAGGGAACTTTCAACCAATCCGTCACGTGTTCGAACTCCGCTCCACCTTCCGAGTGCGAATTTTCACGTGATTGCTGATAGAATTTCAATTTCTTTTTTTTCAAGAGGATAATTTTAGTAGTTTTATGTTCCGTTAGCTGTATGATTCAACTATTGATCTTTCGTGGTCATTCTGGGTCATCGTCAGCACAAAATTCAGACGAGTATTGTGTGAGGACTTTTCCACAAACAGCTTAGTAGTTGGTTCTGGTGGCTTTAGTTGTGATTGGTTGTTTTCACTATTTCGCCAATGTGTGTGTGTGTGTATTTTCGTTTTCTGTCCTGCTAACCAAACTCTCACTCTACTGAGTATTTCATTGGTTGGTAGTTTGGTTTAATGTCAATATACTCACTGATTGCTGATTGTTTTGAGTGGTAAGCTTGTGGAATATTCCCGGGCATATTTTGTATCATCATCTGAACAAACACACGAGAGTTGTTTAAAGTCAGATTTTCTAGTTTTCTTATAACAATAATTAGTAGTGGTTCTGTATTTAATAACAATTAGTGTATATACTTGTACACTTGTATTCCAGTTGATTTAACCGCAAACAAGTTACAAGCTGCAGCTAAGAAACAGTGAATGCCACCTCATAACTTCAGCCAACCAGACAGCATCAGTAGTCCAGACAGCAAGAGACATCTAGTCAGAGGGAAGTACGAAACTGCATACAAATTATTAGTTATGACATAACTGAGAAATGTTGCCTTATGTATCTAAGATTTATACACTTTGTAGGCGAAATTTGATGTTGACATGAATAAGGATATAGTGTGACGTTACTAAAATTTACTTCATCTATTTTCCATTGTATTTTAAGCTTTCCACAATTGGACTTTTCGGTCACCATAACAGAGTCGAAAATGTTCTTAGCTTTATGAGCAATATATTCATTCCCAAAGGCTTTTTGAGGTCAATTTTCAATTTCTAAGATGTTCTTTTATTATTAGCATATCCATTTCTAGGTTTCTCTAGTTGTTTCTTTTTTGGTTGAACATGAAATTTAACGAATAACTTTTGATAAAATTACATAGAAAGCTGGAGAAACAAAAAGATAACGAATAGAATGGGAGGAGTAGCCTTTAGTTAGCTGTAGGCCAAGGGAGAAGTAATGCTTTGATATATTCTTTCTGAATACAAAGTTCAGGCTTGATCAATCTTATTGCAACAGCCTCCACTATGTCGAGCAGGCAGGCGTTGGCGAGCTACACGTGGTTTAGTTTTTGGAACATGATGAATGAGATTGAAAACTTTATTAGCATCTATATGATAGCCTGTGTTGACTAGATACACTAGGACTGAAGTTTTCACCACTTTTATTTCACCCTTTCTGAACCAAGCTGGTAGATGCTCTCGTATCCGGAGACGCACATCTGTTATTGTGACTGAGATGTGATCAGTGTGAATTGATTTCCGAAATGCTTTTCCTCAATAATTGATTTTTTTTTCACCTCTTGTAATCAAGATTTCTATTCTATTTCATCCGCTTAGATGAAACCTTCCTCATGGTTTATCACAATTACTCATTGTATTATAGGTATATCGACTGAGCAACTTTGTGTTGCAACTGCCTAACATTTTATCCATCCTACACACGACTGATAATGAATTTACTGAAAAGAAATAATTCTTAGCTGATAAAAATATATCTTATTCTTCTTATTTATGAAAATCCCTAATATGCTGGATACGTTTGTTACAGTAGAAAAGCAACTTGTCCTGCATTCAAAGATAAGGTTTACCGCTGAGTGTAACAAATTATAACACTATCGGGGTGTTCGGTAAGACAACCAGCATCCCTAGCGATAAAATCTCATTGTTTCACGAAAAGATGAAAATAAGCCGAAGTTCCTATGCAGGCACCGAGGTTTTCCAAACTGTAGAGCCAAGTTGACTATCTCCAAAAATGTTGGGTGTAATAAACTTTAAATAAATGTCTTTAGGGGTGGTGTATTATCAAGCCCCTTATTTAACAAGGAATTCCACATTGATCATTCAAATATGTCTAATTGCGTTTTTATTGTTCTAACCTACCTACAGTTTTGTTGAATTTTGAACAAATTGGGAATTATGCCAGGTTTTTTTTATCGTTTATGTATGTCTGCTGTCTAAAAGTTTATGAAAACTGACCACGGAATTACTAGACTTTCTGTAGGACCAGGTTTGCGGAGCCATGACACTGACTAGGTGAGGTCAGCTGGTTTTGTGTCAATGTCAGAAGAGTGATGTTGTAAGTGACTGACTGACTGACTGACAAAATCAACATAAAACCAAACGCATACAGGTACATCGACTCAAGTTGCCATACTTCACAATACTATAAAAAAAAACAGGTGGAAAGAAAAAGATTCATATCAAAGTAGACAAAGTAGTGTGAGACAATAAACAGTTACTTCAAATATTCAAGCTTTAGAAGAAGTCAAATAGTGAATACATCTGCACCATTGTGACCGGTTTCCAACCATATCACCAAGAATTCTCAATCACTGGTTTGTTTCACCTAGGGGATCCTAACCGAATAGTGTACATCTCACTACACGACTCAGGCCACCAGAAAGGGACTTCATCCGCTGGTGCCACGTCTTGTTCTGGTCACTGTGAACCCTCTTCCAGCCTAATCCAACTTCGCCTAGTAATACGGCTAATGATAAACGGTAATAATAAGAGAAAATAGCAGAGATAGTGCAGGTCAATCGTACTCAATCACTTTGATATGACTGTCAGCTATAATTCATGCTCGCAACATCAAGTAAATAATACTGTATCACTGTTTGGTATATCAAATAAGTAAATATAATATGGAATTACATTTTTTTCATAGTACCAAAGTTTTTCATGTATATTAATGTCTGAGTGGGTCCAATCTGTTAACTTGTTAAATGTGCTAGATTTTAAAGGCTTTTCCATTCCCTGAAGAACCTTATCTTACCAGTTCTTAGTATGAAGCGTTTTTGAACAAATGGTAAATAGAATCGCTAAAAAATGATAGTTGAAAGGGAGGGAGAGAGGGAAATACTTCGATACCATCATACTGTATGTGGTCTTGTAATAAATAGTTCGTTTATTCACGCTACAATATTTGTAATTTTACAAATCCAGCTGAACATTTTAATGTGATGGAAATTGAAGGAACTTGTTCCAACCAGTATAGTTTATTCGACTTGGTATATTGTATCAGTGTGATCATTATGCCATAACGGCAACCGGTGGGACCATCATCTTACAAAAGATTAATGTATCCGTGCTTGTAAAACGGCTTGTATGTTCAACTTCGTTATTAATACACTTGATGTCATCGCATGAAACTCCTTAATAAACTTTGAGTACCCAGAGTATGACCGTGTTTGGGTGGAGCTGTCTCATTGTTCTAGGCACTTGATTTCCAACCGATGAGTCATGCGCCAAAACTCATCTCCACCTACCGAGTTTTAAACACCCAGGTAGTATCATTACAAGTGTGACTCATTACTTACTGCAGGAATGTGAACAAGGTCTCTGAGTAGATTTCGACTTAAGGTTCTGTTATCTTCAGTTTTTTTAGATACTTTCAGTGATGATTTGAGAATGTTTAGGATGGATTTCTCAACTCTTAAGTGCAACTGTTTGTTCCAGTGCTTATTTTCGGTAACGCTTGATCTGAAGATAAAAAGATAACCAAAATCAAACATCGTGATGTGTTTTAGTTATAAAAATATGTAGCAGTTAGCGTGATTTGTTTAGGGAACGTCATTGGAGTTGATATTCAATCAGTAGTGGTTTGGGAATAAGAAACGAGGAAAATCGGAAGAAAATACACAAAACAGGCGATAGATAATTTCATTGCTCTTCACAAGTCTTGTTTTCGATAGTACTTGATTTTTGGGTGATATAGAGCTAACAAAGGATGAGACAGGTGCAGATTCACTCATACCTTATCCTCCTGTTAGCTGTTATATCAAATTTCGTCGTTTGCTATATTCTTTCTTTTTACCTTTATGGTTTTCTACGACTTTTATCTTATTATTTTCCGTTCTTTGTCTTGTTGCCTTGTATCTTTGATGTTCTGATGCAAAAAGGGGCGCTGGGGGGAGGGACCTGAACCAATTCGTAGTAATTTAATGTCTAGTGTTGATCCTGGCGGTACATAATACATACTAATGAATAAAAATCTAGGTGTCGCAGGTCCTCACTTCATTTCTCCATTCTCTTTGTTCTCAGTATCATAAAAAAGAAGTATGAAAGATGCTCATATGATTTAAGTTTTGAAAAGAATTGATCAGCAAAGAAGACTCCTTTTAACTTCTCATCACTAATGTAGGTAGATATAATTAACGGTGCCAACAAAGGTCAAAGGTTAACCTATATGCCGTTGTGGAGCTGAGTACATTGACCATACCATTAAGACATTGTAAAGATCTGCTCACGAACAATTATTGACATCATCAGGAAAAACAATTCATATCGATAAACAGTTCTATTTTAGAAAATATTGTTCTCTCACTTCATACAGAGTTTGTATATAATTCTTTCAGTGTGAGCTAAGGCCAGTAGGTTCAAAGAGGTTTCGTTCACATCTTCTTTAGTACAGGAGAATGTCTGTCTATTCGCAAAAAGAATCTTAAACTTTGTATCTATAAGCATTTTGCTACCATAGCCTTATTTTCTTATCTGCCTTGTTTTTGTTGCACAATATTCCCTTTAACCTACTTCTGTTCCATTTGTTACTACCCAACTTCACTGATTCATGTCTTCCTTGGTTTCGTGTGAATAATATTCCTGTTCCCTATCTCCATGTCTGCATACTTTTGTTACATAAAAATGGCTTGCCATGTCCTACATTTTACTGTTTTTATTTTTCCATTCATAGTTCATTACATCTCGTTACTAACATCAACCTTTGGCTCTTGATACCTTTCATGACATCTTTATACTAATATGTAAAACTGTACAACTATGGTAAAAAGTTACGGAATTCCATTAGATTGGTCGGTATACTTCCATCTCAGTACACTACTGTTCCCATTGAAACTGGAATCTATCATATACTGCTTCAAATTAAAGTGGATTATCCTCCAGACTAATACGTAAATATCGCCATGGTTATCCTACTAGATCCTTAATGGAAGCACTTAAGTATTACGCAGTGGTCATTGGACTCAACTTTCACTTGACCTACTTCAGCCTAAGCGATCGGGTGGTAACAGGCTCATCTCACAGAAACTATGACTCATTGCTTAGTGCGTATATCTTTAGTTAGTTGAATCACTCATGAGAATATAAAGACATGCGATCCAGTGGAAAATTTTGAATAGTTTTATTTCCTAGCACTTTTTTTCACATGTCGTTTGGTTTTTCTCCGTGTTTATTGTTACTATTATCATACGTACTAAGAATTTAATTTTATTCCCCCTTTATTCATTTCTGTACTTTATTTAAGGTTCATGCTTGTGAAAATATTGCCCGTTTGGTATCAGAGATTAAACAATTATTAATATTAGGCGACTTTTGTTGGTTAGCTCAAACTACTTCTATGAATCAGGAGAAGTTACTTCTTCGGAAATTGGATTTAGATCGAGTTAGCATTCGATTACGTGATAAATTGATTGCTGAATTGCATCATTTAGAACAAGAGACAAGTCCAGATTATCCTATTTCTTCGTTTTCATTAAAAGATACATAGATTTGTGAGCGATAAAGATGAATGTAAATGAATGACCTTTATTCACCTGACATTGAATCTATTTCTTCCTTTGTACAGCTTTTCAACAAATGTAAAACAGCTGACCTTCCTTTTTGTTTTATTATCATGTTTAAATTAATAAATTATGTGACTAATTAACTACTCTTTCTTTTCTTCTCACTAATCATGTCATACGGCTATGAGACATGACCGTTGAAAGTAGAAGACACGAGTTGATTGCAGGGCTTTGATCATAGATTTCTGCGTACTATTGGTCGTGTTTGATGGAATCACCATGTGAACAATGTTGAGGTCAGGTTGAGGGTACTAGGTAAGACAGGTAAGTTGGTTGATGAGGTTGTGAACCTTAATCAATTGAGATGGTGTGGACATGCCGATCCGTCTCCTTGCTCGACGTACCATGCTGGGGATGTTGGATTAGGCTGGAAGAGGGTTCAGGGTGACCAGAACAAGACGTGGCACCAGCGGATGAAGTCCCTTTCTGGTGGCCTGAGTCGTGTAGTGAGATGTACACTATTCGGTTAGGATCCCCTAGGTGAAACAAACCAGTGATTGAGAATTCTTGGTGATATGGTTGGAAACCGGTCACAATGGTGCAGATGTATTCACTATTTGACTTCTTCTAAAGCTTGAATATTTGAAGTAACTGTTTATTGTCTCACACTACTTTGTCTACTTTGATATGAATCTTTTTCTTCCCACCTGTTTTTTTTTATAGTATTGTGAAGTATGGCAACTTGAGTCGATGTACCTGTATGCGTTTGGTTTTATGTTGATTTTGTCAGTCAGTCAGTCACTCAGTCTCATTAACCGCATAGGCTGCAATATTTTGTTTCTGTTCTGGTTACTGCCAATTTACTAACTAGAAAAGGCGGTTTTCTCTGGGATGGATTGAGCAAGCAAAATATACTGTTGAACAACATGAGTAGTTGTGACACAGTTATACTTATCTATAGATTTCGCCAGCCAGATAAAAGTGATCAAAACGCCAAACGGTCGTTTGGATGCTGGTAACCTGGGCAAGTGCAGCTCACTCGGCTGAATTGTTCAAAGTAACTGAATCCGGCTAATCGGCTTGGATAGACGCGTACGCCTCAAATAAAATGATAGATTTGTAAATTATTTACAAATTGCCTGGTCCATATTGAAAAGTCTGCTCCGTGGTTAAAAACCAGTGGACTGTGAGAAATATCACCTTGAACCGTGTAATTTGCAAACAGTGCTCAAAGTGGGTTAAACTACTCGCCTTTTTGAACTAGTAGAATTCAGCTGTCTCTGATTTGCCCTGAGCGTATAAAGTAACCATCCCATGTTTAGGTCTGTCTGGTAAACACTACTATATGTTGTCTGTATGGTTTCAATGTGGACAGATTCCGTTTATCCTGACATCATACGTTGACTGAATTGACATTAAGACCCGGTCAACAGTTGGGTGTCGTAGCTGAGCTGCTGCAGCTTTAAGATGGTAATCCAGTGACCGCTTCGTGACATGGGCTATGTGTCATGGTCCTACTACATCAGTAGTACAGAAGGGTGCAGACTTTTGAACAAAGGGGGTAAACCAGTTAGTGAGACTGTGAACTGGTGGCTGGGACATGTGTTATGCATGTGTTTTCGCTGTCTACCCGGTCTCACGGTCTTAGCTGAATTCGGTTTAGGCTAGAGAAAGGTTTTTTATTTTACCTTTAGTCATAATCCCATATCAATAATATCAGTCTTCCACACAACTATCCCAAAAGTTATCAAGAAGCGATTGAAAAATGGTGGTTTCAGTAGGTTAAAACATCATGATTTAGCGATGTTAATAAGGGCGCGAAAGTAGACAGGAATAACGTTCAGCAGCTTGAACACATCTGTATTACTGCTGTCGATTCTAATTCATTCCCTCCAAACTCCCATGGATCACATTTTGAAAGCTTACACGATTCGGAACCACACAATGGAGTTGATAACTGGTAGGTAGCATCAATATGCAACCTGTCATTACTGCTTAGCGATCGACATTGGCATATGTCATGTTACTGCATCAAGATAGTAGGTACACACAGAAAATACAGAAGATTGAAGTCGAAAGTGGTAGGTTATGATAAATGAACATGAAGGACTGAAGCTGCGGTAAAACCTCAGTGTGATGATAATATGTGGAGGCATCTACACCAATGAGGTTGATTGAGTTATTTTGCTTAGAGTCTCCAACCCCAGGTTTCTGTTTTCACGTGGATCCCAACCGAAGAGTCTGTATTTACCCACGTGGCTCGGACCAGCAGTCTGGGGCGTCATGACCTGCTTTATTTTAACCACCTGTGACCCTTCCGCACTGTAAACCTACTTCAGATAAAATTGCGCAACGGGATGGACTGTAGAAAAGCATGGATAACACATGTCCTAGCCACCTGACTTAATGACGTTCCACAGTCTCATCAAATAACTTGTCTATTTTACGGATAACTGGACACCTGACTCCTGTATTACTGACTGACAGCTGTCGCTTTGATGTAGTGGTCGAGCCTGCATATCACAATGACCCAAGGAGCTACGCTCGGGTAACCCTTGTTCCCTCGAGGTCTTACCGTACCAGAAAGGTCAGCTAGATAGTGGTAAGACAAAAAGTAATTACCGTTATAGTGTATATTTCTAGGCTATGATGGAGTCCCAAGGGGGAAGTCGTACTGCTGGCTGAACGGGGTTGTGACAGAGGATGGTGTTTCCCGCGGATGGCCAGCAGTGTCATTCGGATGCTGCCCTGCCTCTGGGAAAAGGTGTTAGAAAAGTTTGGCTTTATGGCATATCGGTTCTCCCAATATGGGCTCATAGTCGGATTCGGAAAAAAACTTACATCTCCTAAAAAGTTGATATCTTGTATCTAATGGTTATCAAAAGCCAGCAGATTTCGACAAGTCATCTGAACTAATTGATGCAAGAAGACTCATTACAGTGAGCTCTGGCCACAATAAAGAATGTACGTAACTTAAGCATAAATCGACCAAGAGTCCTCACAATGATCGCGAACAATGGTGGATAGAGAAAACTAGAGAGGAGCAGACAGCATTGGGCAATACAGGGCAATTATTTGATAAGAAGATGACTGTAAGTGAGATCATCACCAAAATGGATGGGGATGCTAGTAACCTCTCAGCACATAAGGCTAGAACGTAAGGCAGAACACTGTGAAGTACAGTTTAACTGACACACAGCAACACTTCAGTTATTCAGAATCCAGCCTCACCTGAATGCGACATATATGTCGGTCCTGCAACTCTTGTCAAAGTTGAGAAAGCTGTATCGAACGTGAAACGGTGGAAAGCAGCAGGATATTACGGTTTGCCACCAGAAGTTTTTAAGGATGGAGGTAGGAAATCGCTGAATAGATTAAGAGTTACTGGGTAGCTCATGAAAGTCACTGGTAGTCCTATCAGACTGGTCTAATTCACTGATCATCCCAGTCTGTAACAAAATAGAAAAATTTTCTTGTGATAACTTTAGGAGAATCACTTCGACTAACATGTCCAAAATCCTAAGATTCATAGTTATTCGATGCCTAACGGGAGTTAGAGAACAGCGAACTCGAGAAAACCAGGCAGGTGTCAGAGCTAGACCAGTTTGCACTGATCATATTTTCATTCTCCGACGAGTTCTGGAACACAGGTATACTTATCGGTGACTGACACACCATATTTTTTGAACTGAAGGTGACATTAGCCTCTGTCGACTGTGAGGTGTCCTGGCCATGTGTGACTCCGAAGGGGTGCTAAACATCTATGTAACGTCAGTCACAGCTCTCTACTAGAACTCACGCAGCCATGTAAGGGCTTACAGATAGTTTTCATGTGAACCAACGGTAATTGGTGGTGTCCTCCAGGGATGCCCACTGTCACCATTCCTATTCAACTTCGTTACGAACATACTAATTGACATAACCTTAGGTATGTCTGACTTTGTAGGGAATGATCTACTCCCTAGAGGTCATCTGGTTGACTCGGAGTATGCAGAAGATAGTGTTTTGCTAGGTGAAGACGCTTACAAAATGCCAGGTCTTCTGAACGCATTGAGCAGAAATCTCAATATGTTTGGTTGTCACGCGGTCCGCAACTGTGAGATGATGCTTCCTGGCTGGTCTTCACCGATTCATAGTTTGTTGACGGGAAGTCAGGAAACTGTAGCAACCTGAACGGGTTTGTTGCTGATAAAATCTCAGCTGTAATACAGAAAGGCCGTTTGGCACTGACCGACTAAGGTCACCTTGGGTACTGGTGAGGTATCTGAATACCTTTTCAAAGAAGAGTTTACTACGCTTCAGTTCATTGTGTCCTGTTGTACAGCTGTGAGACGTGGTTGCTGAATGTAGATTGTATGAAACGATTAAAGGTTCTGGACCACAGGTCTCTTCACGGTATCGGTCGCATGCGGACGGTCGCCATATGACTAATGCCGAGGTTAGGCGTATGGTACTAGGCAAGACAGACAAGTCAGTCGGTGAGTTTGTGAACCTTGAGCGAGTAAGGTGACTTGGATATGTGTTGCACATTACGAGCCCCTACCTACTTCAACGTAAGATGTCAGCTGAACTAGAAGTGGGCTAGATGAATCCTTGGCGTCAGTACATGAATTTCCTAAATGTTGATCTGAGCTATGTAGCAAGTTGTACACATTGAAAGATGGTTGATTTTTAACCCTTTCCAACTCAATCTCAATTAAGAAAGTGACTTACATCAGAAGACTATGAAAACGCTGCCTGATGTAAATAATTAATCATTCATAATTAAAGGAAATAGCCAAAGTTTTGATTACTTGTCGGAGCAAGTCAAAGATAAACTGGTTGAAGAAAAGTGCTAATTATTTAATTTTAAATGGACTGAAGTCTATGCAAATATAACTTGTGTTTTTCAAAGATAGTAACTGATTCACTGCATTAAATGCAGAGTATTTCTTGATATACCAACTTTTCTGCATACTTGAGCATGCATAGAACAAGCAGAAAG